TTTGTGGCTTGCTAAGGGGTGAGGTGAGCAGGGGAAAAAGCAGCGAGGGTGAGGACAGGGTCTCGGCTTCTTCATAGCCCAGGCTGACCTGGCAGGTGGGTGGGTGAGCCTTTGGCTGGCTGCAGAACATCTGGCTCCCTCTGGGCCACAGCTGTCACTCAGAGTGTGACATCCCTGGATCAGCAGCCTTTTGTGGAACTGCTCTTGGGGCAAAGGGACTGAAATGGCCTGCAGTCCTCAGGGCAACGTGGCAAGCCCCATTCAAACTTTTGTTCCTTGCTAATTTTGCTGCTCTGGATTTGTGTGTGGCAACCTGTGACTGGCACTTGGCCGGATGTCTGATGCCTTGAAGAAATATCTGTATAAATGAAAATATGTGGGATTGTGTGTCTATGTGGGTTCAACCACACCAAACCCGCTTTATTTCCAGTTTTAAAATCACATTGGAGAAAAAACCAAGGTTTCTGGAGTCCCATGCAATGCTATGTGTCCTCATGGGTAGGAAAAGCAATAGGAGAGACTGTGTTATTGCAAAGCTGCAGCCCAGATCTTGCCATTTCTATGGCTGACATTGTGTGTGCTGTTTGACTTGTCGTCACCCGGTTTGTGCAGCCTTTTGGCAAAGGAAGGAACAGAGCAGGCAATGTTTTACAGAGGACAGTATCTGGCTATGGAAAAGCTGTGCAATATGACTCATTTTGTGTAAAGGACATGAAATTACAACTGCGTACCACATGAGAGTTGGTAGCTGGGATCAAATCAGAAAACATCCTCATCCGGGAAGGGTATTCAAGCATGTGCTTAATTTAAGAACACACTTAATCAAGGCCTTTGGGCATAAAAGGGTAATGATTATTCTTGTGTTGCTGAGAAAATCCTAGTGACATCCGGAAGATGTATTACTTGAGAAAATCTAGTGTTACTTCAGTGTCCTCGTTTAATCTTTGAATTTCTAAAAAAGTAATTCTTTTAATTTTTCATTGCTCGCCAGCGCTGTGAATTCTTTCACAGCTGTTTTACACTCAATTGTTAATGCTAAGTGGAATCAGCAAATACAATCTGGTTCAGATAATAATTATGGAAGATCAATCCTGCATCCGCCTCTTTCTCCATCCTCATTAAACTTCCCAGCATGTAAGATAAGCACGTTTGACTTTGCAGGGAAAGCTAGCCACAGTAAAATAACTTTTTTCCTTCTTGTTTAATCATTTCAAAACAACAAGATCCCCATGCCCAATTTGTCCAACAGATTTGACTCCTAAGTTTTTCTCTAACTGTGTATTGCTGCAGAGATTAGAAAGGACATATGTGATTTTAAGTATGCAATATGTGTTTTGTTTTGTTTTGTTTTAATTACAAGTGACTGTCTTTATTAGCAACTGGTTAGCATCCATCAACGTCTCAACCTTGTCCCAGCAAATCACAGGAGCAGTAAATCCAGAGGTCCCGCTGGACCAGGTCCTGCTGCCCTTCACCCTGGGGATTGTGCCTTCCTGTGCAGGCACATTGCACCCAGCCTAGGAGAGGCTCCGTGTCACAGCATGAACAGGCCAGATGGCAACGAATGTCTTTGATTTCCTTGGAAAAATCAAGTGCTTCAAGTTGCACAGCTAGTCCAGATCCAGCATTTGTGGGAAGCTGAACTCGGGTCTACACTGAACATGTTTTATACCCAGGCTTTGCAGTTGCTGTACCAAATACAACCTCTGAACTCTTCTGCCTTAAGGACTCTGGACACTAGCCATACAACTGGAATTCTTGAAGGGGCTGTGGGAGGCTGGTACTCAAGTGGATTTCCCACCTAAATCCTGTAGGAGATATTCAGCCTGCTGCCCATGGAGCACAGCCTCATTATTGAGATACTTGCTGTGCAGAAAGGTACGTAGGCACCTGTTTTAAAAGAGATTCTTGGGCCAGGAGATAAGCAGGGGCTGTTATTTGCTATAAGGTAAGTGCTTGCTCATTTTATTGACTTTGGATTAAATTCTGTTCATCTTCCTCAGGCAATTACTCTCCCTGAAACCAATATGACTGTCAGCACAAATAAAGCAGTTGGATTTTGGCCCCTTTTAGAAGACAGTGATCATAAATCTAGCTTCCAGCTCAAATCCAGGTGTGAAAAATGGGGATTTTCCTGGGGGAAAAACCACAGTAAACATCAGTGGCATAGAACTAGGGAAATGAGTGGGCAGAAGGGAAAAGAAAATTTAACTTCACTCAACTCTAATTATTAGAGTAGGTATTCAACTGGGCATTGGGAAAACGTGCTCTCAGCTTTGCCATTGCTTCCCTATCTGACCTTGATGATGATCCTTGGACACCTCATCGTTTTCAAAGTTATGGTTAAATATAATATAATTGTATGTGGCTTTAAGATCGAGAGATAAGGTACACCAGTGAGTGCAAGCCACCGTAAGGATGTTTAAAAAAGTGGACGATGGTGCCAAAACCTCTTGATGAGAAGCCATGAAAATATGGTACTGTAAGCAATATGACTAGGAAGGAGGGGTTTTTTCCACCTCTAGTTTCTTTTCCTTTTCATTCTTTTGAACAATATGTCTTAATTTTGCATTATGGATGTAGCATGATATTTCTGTGTGCAGAAAGCCTCTATCACTATTTCTAGTTTCCTTTCATACGTTCAGTAGTATAAATAACCAAAGAGGATATTGCTTAACCATAAACCAAAGTGACATCATAATTTATTAATACAGAAGGTACAGTCTATTGCTGTTAAATGCCATGAAGAGCTGGAAATAGAGTAGTTTCTCAGAATGCATTGCCAATACATCAAAGGAAAGATTTCCTTGATGCTATCTCAGCATGTGTAAGACCCTTTGGTGTATTTCAACACTCTGGTTATTTCCCCCCTGAACTGCTAGCATCATTCAAAGGCAGCTTGCTGGTGATTTCCCCAACATCTGATGTCTTCTTCCTGCCTGCTCCACTCCTCCCAATGCTTTGGTCCTGTCATTTGCTCAAACTGACTCCTATATGAGAAGGAAAATAAAAAAAAAACAACGAACCATAGCAAAAAGTGTGGGGGCAGCGCTGGCTTGCCCAATTATGCTGCTGCCGTTGATGTTGGTGGGGCAGCAGCACAAGCCCACATATCTTCATGGTGTCCCTGTGACAGTGGGGACACGGAGCAGTACACACGGAGGAGGGGTTTCCATGCTCTGCTGGCCCCAGTGCAGCTCCTGGCTCATAGGAAGGCAATACATCAGGCTGTACATGCTCAGGCCCCAAGCCAGCAAAGCATTTAAGCACCTGCTTACCCTTAAGCTTTTGAGTAATTCCTCTGGTGTGAGCTAAGCACAGCATCCTCCTGCTTCCCATGGTCTTCCCTTGTGAGGATGTGTATGCAGTGGCCGGGCAGAACATGTGGCTGCTGACATCTCCTCCGGCGCGGGACTACTCACGACCCATCTCTTCTTGCTGCCTGCTGTTTGCAGGCCTGGTTTTCACTGCCTGCCTCTGCAGACCCCAGTCCTGCTGGCATCTCTGTGAGTGAGCCCCACCAGCACCCAAAAGACTCTGCCAGGACTCCCAGTGCTGGATTTAACTGCATAATAATTTAAGAGTATTCCAGGAAAGAACACCACAACACTCCTTTTGGTATGCTGTTCCCAAGCACCAACATATGGACAAAGTGTGGTGACCATATGGTCTTGACGAGACATCTCTCTCATGCCCAGGAGGCCAAGAAGGCAAGAGCATCCTGGCCTCTATCAAGAATGGTGATGTCAGCAGGAGCAGGGAGGCGATCATGGCCCCTCTACTGGGCTTTGGTGAGGCCTCATCTCGAGTCCTGTGTCCAGTTTTGGACAATACTACACGCTACAAGAGGGACATTGAGGTGCTGGAGAAGGTACAGAGGTGGCTACTAAGCTGGTAAAGGGCTTAGAACATAAGTCTTATGAGGAAAGGCTGAGGGATCTGGGGCTGTTTAGCCTAGAGAAGAGGAGATTGAAGGGAGACCTCATAGCTCTCTACAACTGCCTGAAGGGAGGTTGTAGGGAGGCGGAGGCTGGTCTGTTCTCCCTAGTGGAGAGTGACAGGACAAGGGGAAATGGATTTAAATTGTGCCAGAGTTAGATATTAGGAAGAATTTCTGTACTGAAAGGGTTGCCAGCCATTGGAACAGGCCGCCCAGGGAGGGGGTTGAGTCACTGTCCCTGGAGGTGTTTAAGAGACAGGTGGATGTTGTGTTGGGGGGAATCGTTTAGCAGGTTGATAGGGCTGAGACAAAGGCTGGACTCGATGATCTTCAAGGTCTCTTCCAGCTGATACGTTCTATGATTCTATAAACAATCTTTCTGGCATGGATAACTTGCAGTCCTGGAAACTCACTCAGTAGATGTTTAGCTCCATGCACTGCCAGTACTGTCATAGAAGCACCAGCCCTCATTGCTGGTCCCTGTTTGCCTCATTATGAAACATGCCTATCTGTGCAAGTTTTAGGAAGGGACAGGATTCCTTTTGGCTGCCTAGGATATTAATGTGAATTTTTATTTGTGTTAATTTCATACTTTCCATACATGTAGTCAATTCCCTCCCATTAAATGCATCTGTTTAATCTGATTTAGCCGGTGTGTGAAACATGCCCGTTGCGTGCATGATGCAGCATGGGTTCACCAACTTATGCTCTGCATGCCAGTAATCCTCAGGGGAGCCACAGTGTGATGAGCTCCTACCTGCCTCTTTGGTGTGCACACACACACACAGGCACTTGATTGCTCCCAGCTTTACTGGCGAGGTGGATTCCCCTCCTGTTCATCAGCTGGCAATACAGACTTTGGCATGATATTTACCTGTCCGGCTCCTCCACGAGCAGGCACACACGTGTGTGCTCACGTCTGTGTAGCCGGGCGGCATGCATGCTCAGCCAGCCCCTGTGCAGAGCCGGCGCCTGCACGTTGGCAGTTCGGTACCCCCCTTGAATCCCCCTCTTCTCTGGGCTATATGTGGCATTTCGAAGCTCTGACAATCTGCTCCAAATGTTTTCCATATTTGTTCAGCCTTCTTGATTCAAATACCAGGAACAACTCAGCCAGCACAAAGCAAAGCTTTGGGGGGCAACAAAACTCACACCCCCCTCAGCACGCGCACACACACACACGCACGTGAAAACCTAAAGTTCATCGGCATGGGAAAGGAGGAGAAGAAACCTCAGCACAGCACATCCCTGAATAACCAGAGCCAGACAGGGAAGGCACCCGAAGGGGAGAAAAGTACCAACTCGAGCAAGACGCAGGAGCCTGCGATGAAGAAGAAGAAGCAGAAGAAAACCAAGGGGGATCCCAAAACTGGCCAGGAGGAGGAATCCCACACTTGTTGTGGCTGCCGTTTCCCGCTGCTGTTTGCTTTGTTGCAGCTGGCATTAGGCATCTCTGTAACAGTGCTGGGCTTCCTTATGGCAGGCATCAGTTCTTCTCTGCTAGTCAGAGACACTCCATATTGGGCTGGGATAATTGTAAGCATAAAGTCTGTTTCTCCATAAAGTGCCTTTGCCAACATTAATGCAAGCTGCATGACGCTCCACTTTAGACTAACCAAATGCATGCACAACACCATTTGAGTTATGCTAACTATAAATATTCCTGGGATTAAATGTCTGGGTATATTTTCCCAAGGAAACTGCTCCTGCAGAATAACACGATCTTTTATCTTCTTCCCTGAAATACCCAACAGACCTTAAATAAAATGCAGGCTTGCTGTTCACTAGATGTATGTATTAGCTTGTGCTTTGCAGTGAACTCCTGCCTGGTGATGCTGAAAAAGAATGTTGATTACTTACCTTGTCTTCCCTCTTGCCCCACCAAACCATAACAATTAAGCTTTAGAAGTGAGAGCATAACTCTGTAACTTGCAACTTTTAGCTGGTCACGTTGGTAGTAGGGAGAGGAGAGAAATGGCTGTCTTTTGAGCTTCCCCCCTGTGCTGTGTTGAAGAACCTCTGTGATTTAAGCCCTTTCCTGCCTGGCTTCAGCCCCACTGGAGGGAGGGAGAAACCGAACGTGGCCGTGGGGAAGGGGACGGTGCTGGCGGGGGGGGGCAATGGGCGGGGGAGAGAG